CCTCCTCCTCCTCCTCCTCCTCCTCACAACCCCAAGCTTCCGACGCCGTTGGTTCTTCATAGCGTTGGCCCCCAGGAGATCTTGCCCCACTATCCGGGAGTCTCACCAGCCCTTCAGGTGCAGGAGTGTTCAAAGCGTTTCTTCTTTCATCTCCCCTCTTCCCCTGCGGGGAGGGACTATCACTGTTTATTACCAATAAACACCCCCCCACCCGACCAGCGACAAACCTGGGACACTGCAAACCCCCCACCACCATCCCTAGCAAACGAAAACCATACACAGTGCACGTTGCACCAAAATCTGGATCGTGCGCCGACGCCGCGCAATTACTTTGCATTGGTTTTTAGAAGGACGGCGGGGGCCTGGCATGCTGCCTGCTGTGCACTGCCACCCACCCATCCGCACACCACCCCTTGCAAAAAACATGCCAAATACGGTGATATAATTGATAGGAAACCCTTGGATTAGGAATCCAAGGTCTGGAAGCGGGTGGACCACCAACTGAAGCTTGACCGTGGACAACACCGCCTCCCTCATCAGATAGTTGGGCATCCTCCAGGGTCTGAAACCTCCGGGCATATGCCTTAACCAACGCCCCCGCCGTACACGTGCATCACAATCCGGATCATGCGCAGGCGCCCGGGCTCCAGATGGGAGCGCAAATGAAACACCCCCCCCTCTTTCATCGATGTTCTCCAAATATGGCTACGAGAAGGCTCCCAAGGCTTCCAAGGGGGCAGACCTCAGGAGGCCCCTAAGAGGCCCCCAAGACGCCCCCAAAACGACCCCAAGATGCCCCACGACACCCCCAAGAGAGCCCAAGTGGGCCCAAGACAACCAAAGAGGCCACCGAGAGCCCTCCAGGAGATACCCCAAGCGACTCCGAGAGGCATCCAAGAGGCCTCCAGTTCGCTGAGGCGCCCCGACGTATCCACATGATGCCACGTTCCCCCGATGAGGGCGTCTCCCCTGAGAGTCGCTCCTTGATGGCAGGCGGGGAGTCGCGAGGCGTGAACTAAGAATTTACTTTTCAGCCCGAACCGATCCTTCGATGGTCCGGGCCCAGTGAGGGCATCCAACGGCAGAGTGGCCAAACACGTCCCAGCGCGACGCTTCACGGCGCGGGGACGCAGTCGTGAAGACAGACAGGATATCGAGAAGAGGTCTTGAGGGAAACCAGGCCGGCTTTCCCGCCCGCGCTGTTTTTGGACGACCCGGGGGCCCCAGGAGGGGCCCTGCCCTGGGGGGGCCGAATGACGAGAGAGTACCTCGGGGCAGGGCTGGAGCTAAACAGTGTTTTCCGTTGTCGTTTTGGTTTCGTTCCACATTTGCCTTCGTTGCTCGTTTTGTTTTGTGTTCGTTCCGTTTTGCTTTGTGCTCGTTTTCTTTTGTTTGTTCGTTTTGGTTTCGTTCTGTGTTCGTTGTGCTTTCGTTTTGTTCTCTTTTCGTTCCTGTCTTCGTTCCACACTCGCCTGAATAACGAGGGCAAAACGAAAGCGGCCCACGAAGCTGCCAGGACACCGTCTTTGGCCCGAGCCCTGCCTTCCGGGGCCCCGTGCCCTCGAGTCGGAGAGGCTGCGCCACGGAGCGGCGGCGCAGAGGGGGCTCTTTCCTGGCCGCGGCGCGCCTCTCGGCCACGAGCAGGCTCCACTCCTCCTCCTCCTCCTCCTCCTCCTCCTCCTCCTTCGTCCCCCTCCTCCTTCGTCCCCCTCCTCTTCCTTCTCCATCTGCTTCTTCTCCTCTGTCTACTCCTCCTCCTTCGCTTCCTCCTCCTCGTCCCCCTCCTCCTCCTCCTCCTCCTCCTCATCATCATCACCATCCTCCTGCTCGTCATCCTCCGAGGAGCGGCCCGTGAACCAGAGTCCCTGCGGAGCCCACATCAAGGAAGCGAGTTCCGGTTGGAGGCCCGGCAGGTGGAAGACCTTGGCTCAAGCTGGACTCGCCCCAGCTGGATTGCAGCGTCGCCCAAGAGGAGGCCCACCAGATGGAGACCCCTGGTTCCGATCGGATCCGTTCCTACTGGATTGTGGAGCCAGTCGACCCAAGTGGTCCTTATTTCAGAGTCTGGGGCTTGACCTTCACGGCGCACACGTTGGAGAAGGAGGAAGGCTGAGGGGCACCGCGAAGGAAGCTCGAGCGACAATCTTCGGTGCCGCACACAAACAAAAACTCCCAGCAGCCGCGCAGCGCTCCAGAGATGGGGGAAGAAGAAACGAAGCGGAATCGAGGAGGAGGAGGAGACGAGGTGGTGTGAGTGGGGGGGGGGAACACTGAGCATATTGCATTGAGCAGTGGCCGACCGCCCTGAAATTCCTACGGGCCTACCACCAAATGCCCTTGGAGCTCTAACATGTTCAATAGTGAAGACATCGTTCTTACAACGTAGGCCCGCTGCGTTAAAACAAGCCAGTCTCAACCAGAAATGCTCTTACAACATCTCGTGCAGACCACACAAGGTTACCAAAACATTCCTTGGATGGCCAGTGAATATCGCAAGCCGGGCAAGGGCTGCTAAATCCGTGACTGGTAAAATCGACCTCCCGGAAGTTGTCTTCGTCCTTCCGGGAAGAAACCAATTGACTGTTTCGCGTGCCGCACCTCATTCCTGGAAGTTGTTTTCTCCTTCCGGAAGGGGAGTTTTAGCAGCCGCGGTTTTAGCAGCCCTCGCCCAGATTCCGAGAGTAAGCCATGGACGCTTCGCCACTGCTCCACTTCAGCGCCTGAACCGTAGCCCGCGCGTCTCCTGGGTCTCGCCGTCAGCCGGCTCCTCCAGCTGGAAGGCCATGCTGATGTGCTCGGAGAGCCAGCCGCCGCGGTTCGGCGGGGCGTGCCCGAACTCCTCCTGGGGGCGGCCCACGGCCTGGAAACTCGGCGAATTCTGTCCACGTCTCCGAGGATTCATCAATCGAGGCCTCCTTGATGGGGTCGGAGTAGATGGGGTCGGAGAGTCGAGCCGCATCGGCGATACATCGCCAATGCATTGGCGATGCACCCACGACGCCGGCGAGCATCGGCGACGTCGGCGTGGAGAAAATCGGGCTCCACATCGAGCCCCACCAGCGATGCATCGGCGATGCGGCGAGATCCTTCGACCCCGTCTACTCCGACCCCGTCCAGGAGGCCCAGAGTCGAGGACCGAAGCGTTCTGAGGACCGAGCTCCAAAGGAAACGGGCCTTGGGGGAAGGGGCCGCTTCCGGGGGCTCCTGGGCCCCTGCGGCGGGCCCCAGGACCGCCCACAAGCCGCACAGGATGGCGAACAGCGGGCCCTTGGGGAAGCCCCCCCTGGGGTCTGGGACCCGCTTCCCTCAGGACCCCTCTTCTTCACACCGGCTGTGGGCTCTTGCGCCTCTGGGGGCTCTTTGGGGATAGAAAGAGAAAGAGAGAGAGAGAGAGAGAGACAGAAAGAGAGAGGGAGAGAGAGAGCGAGAGAAAGGAGAGAGAAGAGAGAGAGAAGAGCGAGAGAGAGAAGGAGAGAGAAGAGAGAGAGAGAGAAGAGCGAGAGGAGGGAGAGATAATAGAGAGAGAGAAGGAGAGAGAGAGAGAGAGAGACAGAAAGAGAGAGAGAGAGAGAAACATAAAGAGACATATATATAGAGAGAGAGAGAGAGAGAAGTGCGAGAGAAGGGAGAGAGGAGAGAGAGAGAGAGAATCTATATATATATAGAGAGAGAGAGGGCGAAGGCGCCACCGAGGGCGACAGTGCCGTTTCCTGGCAGTCGTCGTGGGGCACCAACAGCAGGGCCACGTCCTCTTCGACGCAGACCTCCAGGCGAGCGCGGGGAAGAAGGAAGAAGAAAAGGGCCTCAGGAGGCCTGTGGCAGGCTCTCATGAATTATTGCCCAGCGAAGCACCCTCATGGCAGAAAAGGTGAAGAAGCGGGTCGAGGAGCAGGAGAAGCACGGCCGGAGAACCCTGAGAAAGCAACGAGGCAGCCGGGACAGGGGCGAGAGCATGGCCATCTGCACATCCATACAAATCCCTTACAACAGATCGTCGCCGTCCGGACCACACACGTGGCCAGCCCGGAGGCGAGAGCACGGTGGTACGCACAAAGACATACCAGGACTATATGTCCTCCGTGGAGGCGCGCGTCCGACCCGAACATATAGTATACCCATCTTGTAGTAGATCGTTTCCCGAGCGGTGTGGCAGGAAAGAGCCCGCCACGACGCATCGGAGGTTGGGGGGTGAGATCGCTATGGAACGGAGACCCCCAACCGGGAAATCGTTTCGTTTCGTTCGTGTCATGCGTGCGGGTGAGGCGAAGCTGCGTGGGCGCGCGAGAGGAATGAACCCGCCGTTGCTAGGGCGAAGACAAGATAAATGATTCTCCCCCGCCCGCCCGCCCGGCCGGCGGTGGCTCGCGGTGTCCCGCAGTGTCCCGTGGTGTCCCGTAGTGTCCGCCGCTGCTAGGGCGAAGTCAAGACAAATGATTCTCCCCCTCCCGCCCGTCCGGCGGTGGCTCGCGGTGTCCCGCGGTGTCCCGTGGTGTCCCGTGGTGTCCCGTTGAGTGAGATCGATAGTGAGATCGACAGTGGGATCGATAGTGAGATCGATAGTGAGATCGATACTGAGATTGATGTGGTGCCCCAAGGTGTCCCGTGGTGCCCCAAAAAGTGAGATCGATAGTAAGATCGATAATGAGATCATGGTGTCCCGTGGTGTCCCGTTGAGTGAGATCGATCGTGCGATCGATAGTGAAATCGATAGTGAGATCGATGTGGTGCCCCGAGGTGTCCCGTGGTGTCCCAGCAAGAAAATCGGTTGTGAGATCGACAGGTGTCCCGTGGTCTCCCGTGGTGTCCCGTTGATTGAGATCGATAGTGAGATCGATAGTGAGATCGATAGTGAGATCGATGTGGTGTCCCGTGGTGTCCTCTGGTGTCCCGTTGAGTGAGATCGATAGTGAGATCGATAATGAGACCGATAATGAGATCGAGATGTGTCCCGCGGAGTCCCGTGGTGTCCCGTTGAGTGAGATCGATAGTGAGATCGATAGTGAGATCGACAAGTGTCCCGTGGTGTCCCGTGGCTTCCCAAAACGTGAGATCGATAGTGAGATCGATTGAATCAGATGTTGGTTCCCCCCCTCCCCCCCCCCACAACCTCCTTATCACTCGAAGGGTGGTCGTATAGGTAGAACATAAGATTTCTCGGTGCGCGCGTCGCCCCTGGGGGGGCGACGCACACCCTAGTCTTAGTATATTGGGTTGGCGCCGACACGATTCCGGGACATATTGTGAGGAAGTATGATGCGAGACGGTTGCCAGTCCTCGGGCTCCCCGTCCCCTCAATGGGACTCTTCTGTGGTCCCTTTCCATTTGCCATCGCTCGGACGCCCCTTCCCCCACATTTGTCGGTGTCGTCCGTTGCTTTCTCGCGAGATGATCCAATGTGCTCCTATGTGGTCGACATGTCATGGCGATGGCCCCGCCATTGCCACACTTAATACTGTTGGAGCCTTCTAGCGACACTCGATTGGGGAGGAGGGAGGAGGGAGGAGGGAGGAGGAGGAAGGAGGAGGGAGGAGGAGGGAGGAGGAGGAGGAGGAGGAGGAGGAGGAGGAGGAGGGGGAGGAGGACACTTCGGGGGGCATTCTCGCGCGCTCGAGGGTGCCCTGCGGGCCACTGGGGTGCGTCGGCGCTCGGGGGGGGGCAGGGCGCGTGCACATAGGGGGAGCGCGCGCCTGCTGCAGCGAGTGCCGAGATGGTTCCAGGCTCGAGCCGGCGCGTGGGACATGGTCCTCTTCGAGAGTGAGGAGGAGGATTGCACAACGAGGGGAGGGAATCTACAGTCAAAACGTATATTAAGGACGAATGGTAGGGACGCAAGAACCTTGGAGACCGAAGTTAAGATTTTGTGGGCGGTGGGAGACCAGTGAAAACGGCAAAGGACGGGCCGCAGAGGCAAGGACACAAGGGCCCCCTGGATAAAGGCGCGCGTCCTTACTAGGCGCGTTGACTGTATTTTGTCTGAAGAGGATGGGCAGAGGCGGGCCAGCAGGCACAAGAAGAGAGGAATAATGACGCCCCTCCCCACCACCACGTCATCACATGCTCAGCGGATGCCGGCACAGTGCGCGAGCGAGACATGCACAGTGGACAAGATAGCTTGCGCCACTGGATTTCCTAAGCGCTACTGCTAGAAGCTGTTCGCTCAAGAAGTTACCCCCATCGATGGGCATGGAGGCCAATGCCTAACTACGGCACTGAGCCGGTCGTCTCGTCCAATGAGCTGCTGCCCCCTGGCGATAGCAATGGCAAGGATTTTGCTGCGACTAGGTTCTTTGTCGACCCAGGGAGTCCAGCTGAAACGGGGGTGCTGCAACTGATTTGCGGCAGTTGCATTGCAAATGTATTGCGCTGGAGAACTGGATTGCGTTGTGTTGCAAAGACTGCGTTGCACGCGAAACACCAGCAATACACTCGCGCACCGGAATGTTTTGCACGCCCCTGATCGATTGCAACCCCACAAATTTATTGCACCGAATATATTGCATCACTCCCTTTTCGCTGGACCCTTTTTTGCGTCAACCAGATTTATACCGCACGAAATTTATGGTCCGCCGACCCCCGAGGCGTGTGAGACTCCCTTTCGCACCTGCTCACGATTCCCAACACGACAATCCTTCTTTGCCACCCGCACACCGCACCGCGCCCCCACCACGCCCCTACCACCTCCATCGACACCTTCCGCCGCGCACCCCCCCAAGTCCCAGCACCCCCGGGCCACGCGAAATCAGCTCTTGGGACCCCCCACGCGACAATTTCTAGCCCAGAACGGACCCTGACCCCCCACCACGCCTGCACTTCGCCCCGACATCTTCCACCGCGCCCCCCCACATCGCCCTGGCACCCCCGCAGAAACTCTCTTCGTGGGACCCCCCACCAAACACTTTTGGCCTGAAACCCGCCGATGCCACCCGCCGCGCCCCCCACCTCGCCCTGGCGCCCCCAGCTCCAAGAGCTCTCCTGATGAGACCACCAGCTCCAGGAGCTTTGTTTTCCATGAGTTTCTCGGGACCCCCACTCGACATTATCTTGCCTGAAACCCACCGATATAACCCCCACCGCGCCCCCCACCTCGCCCTGGCACCCTTTGCTCCAAGAGGTATCTTCTTGGAGCCCCCCGCCCGCCATTTTCGGGCCTGAAACCCACCGATAAATCCCACCGCGCCCCCAACTTTGCCCCCGGACCCCCCGGCTCCAGGAGCTCTCTTCTTGGGACACCCCATGCCCGACATTTTCTGCCCTGAACCCACCGAGACCCCCCGCCGCGCCCCCGACTTCGCCCTGGCACCCCCATCTCAAGGAGCTCTCGTCTCGGGACCCCCACTCGACATTCTCTCACCTGAAACGCACCGATTAAACCTCCACCGCGCCCCCCACCTCGCCCTGGCACCCCCAGCTCCAGGAGCTCCCTCCGCGGGGTCCCCCCCCCTGCACTTTTAGCCTGAAGCCCACCGATAAATCCCACCGCGCCCCCCGCACCTCCCCGGCACCCCCAGCTCCAGGACCTCTCTTCTTGGGACACCCCATGCCCGACATGTTCCGGCCTGAAACCACCGATGTCCCCCGCCGAGCCCCCCGCCTCGCCCTGGCACCCCCAGCTCAAGGAGCTCTTTTCTTAGGACCCACACCCGACATTTTCTACCGTTTAAACCAACCGCCGCCGCCTCGACCGCGCCGCCCCCCACCTCGCCCCTGCATCCCCGACTCCAGGAATTCTTCTCGGGACACCCGCCGCCCTTGCCGCCCCCCCCCCGCCCCGGCACTCCCGGTTTCAGGGGCTCTCTTCTTGGGATTCCCCACCCGACATTTCCTGGCCTGAAGCTCACCGATGCACCCCGCCGAATCCCCCGCCTCGCCCCGGCATCCCCAGCTCGATCCAGGAGCTCTTTCCTTGGCGCCCCCCACCCGCCATTTTCTGGCCTGACGCCCACCGATGCCCCCCCCTCCGCGCCCCCGCCACCTCGCCCCGGCACCCGGCTCCAGGAGCTCTCTTATTGAGACCTCCAAGTTGGCACTTTATGGCCTGAAGCCCGCCGACGCCCCACCGCGCCCCCCACCTCGTCCTGGCACCCCCAGCTCCAGGAGCTCTCTTCTTGGGACCCCCCAGCCCGAACATTTTCTGCCCGGAAACCCACTGCGCCCCTCGCCGCGCCCACCCCCCACTTCCGCCCCACCTCGCCTCGGAACTCCCAGCTGCAGGATCTCTCTTCTTGGGGCCCCCCACGCGACATTCTCCGGCTAGGAATCCACCGACGCCCCCCGCCTCGCCCCGCCCCTCGACCCCACCGCCCGACATTTGCTGGCCTGAAACCCACCAGTGCCCCTCCACCGCGCCCCCCCACCTCGCCCCGGCACCTCCAGTTCCAGGAGCTCTCTTCTTGAACCCCCCGCCCGACATTTTCCGGCGATGCCCGCCGAACCCCCCCCGCCGCGCCCCCCCGCCGCGCTCCATAGAAACTTTACTGGGGCCCCCACACGACATGTTCTGGCGAAGCCCGCCGACGCCCCCCCGCCGCGCCCGCCCGCTTTGCCCCGAACCCCCAGCTCCAGGATCTCTTCTCGCGACCCCCCACCCGACATTTTCTGGCCTGAAACCCGCCGGCGCCCCCCGCCGCGCGCGCAGCCCACCTCCCACCTCGCCCTGGCGCCCTCAGACCTAGGAGCGTCCTTCACGGGCCCCCCCGCCCGACGTCTTCTGGCCCGAAACCCACCGATACCAGAAACCGATGATTCACGTTCCCGTGCGCGGCGCTCCAACGCTGGACGCGCTCCGAGAACGGCCAGATCTACCATTCCAGAAGGTGGCCTGGTTGCAGCGCCGCGAAAACGAGTGTGGGGGCCTATATGCAGGAGGAGGAAAAAACACGCAGATACTACAATGAATCGTCGACCCTCCAGGAAATTTCTGAAAATATGGAAAGTGGTGGGAAGGACGACCCCCCCCCCAAAAAAAATGTGGAAAATATGGGGAATATGTTTATTTGTGTATATTTGTTTGTGTGTTCTGGGGCCCCTTCATGTATGGATTCTCGCCGATCGCGGAAGGCATGCCGGTGGCCCTCGCAGATCCGCCCCGCGGGCGCGTCGCGGAACTGACGGCGCGCCGGGGCTCAGATGGGCAATCTCTGGCTTCTCCGGCACACCGGAAGACCCGAACGCCCAGATATCCCACCGACAACTGGAATGCCTTCTTCGGGGTCGGCGGCAGAGGCGGCAGCCTTCAAATAAGTCGATACCCAAGGCACTGGATCCGGCCGCTCCCGCCCTGCGGGTTGGGCCGTGCGAGACCTCTCTGACAAAGTGTTCGGCACTATCTTTCCCCTTCCTTCGCCAGTGGCTGGTCAAAGCCCTCCTGAAAGTCCCTCCGAGGGGGCCCCACTCTGCCGGCGGACCCCCCCTCCCTGAACAGTTCCAGCGCCCGGGGGCGATTCAAGAGCGCCCTAAAACGGGCCAAGAGAGCCCCAAGACGGCCCGAGCGAGCCTCCAGACGGTTCCAGATCGCTCCAAGACGCCTAAGATGGCCTCCAGACGGCCCAAGACGCCTCCAAGACGGCCCAAGAGGGCTCCAAGAGCACCCCCAAGACAGCCCCGAGAAGCAAAAATCATGGATTTTTCAATGGTTTTTGAAGGATTTACACGTTCACGCCATTTCGGCTTACCCACGCTCCACGACGGCCCAAGAGGCCCCCCAGATCGCCCCAGGACGGCCCAACAGGCCCCCAAGACGGCCCCAAGACGGCCCAAGAGGGCCCCAAGACCGCCCAAGAGGCCCCCGGAACGGCCCAAGAGGGGTCCCAGGATGGCCCCAAGAGGAGGCCCAGAAGGGGTACCCGAATGAACATGTCGAGCTTTCGGCTCGAGAGGCCCCCAGGAGACCCTAAGAGGCCCCCTGGAGGCCCCCAACAAACCCCAAGAGAGCCCCAAGAGGCCCCAAGAGGGCCTCAAGAGGTCTCGAAGAAGCCCCTGGGACGCCCCCAAGAGGCCCCTAAACTGCCCCGCAGAAGCCTCCGAGAGCCCTCTCGAGACCCCAGGAAGCGTCCATGAGGACTCCGTCCGACCCAAAACCCAAGCACGGTGGCGGGATGGGGCGACGGCTATTTGATAGCTGGCATACGCGCCGCGTCACGACTTTCGATGCTGCGCACCTCTTCGAAAAACTCCCAGGGAGCGGCCGGTGATGCGCTGCCGGCGTCCTCGATAAGTCGATACCCAAGGCACTGGACATCGTGACTTCGTTCGAGCAGGGAGCTAGTTTCCAGAGGCAGAAACGGAAAAACGCCACCAGCCCCAGAGAAGTAGCAAAGGAACAATAGAAGGGCAAACCCGAGACCACCCTCGCCTCTGGCCCCGGCCGGCCCCGGCCGGGCCCCGGCCCCTGCCCCAGTCCTAGCCTCGGCCCCGGCCCTGGCCCCGGCCCTGGCCCTGGCTCCCGGCCCGCTCTGGCCCCGGCCCTGGCCCAGGGCCCAGCCCCAAGCGCCTTCCAAATCTAACCATACCTCCGTGGCCTCCCACATGCCCAAGATGCCGAACCTAGCTCCAAAACAGCGAACGAAGCTTGGAACTCGCCCCAGGATGGCTCCCAAACGCCCTGAATTGTCCTGATAGGCAACCGGCGTCGTCGCCAACATCGTCAACATCCTCGCCATTATCTCCCTCTTTCTCCTCCTCATGATCGCCACGCTCTACTCGCTCGCCCCTGCCCTTCCTTCGTGCCCCCCCCGCGACCTATTCATCCCCCCCTGTGTTCCTATCCGCCTCTTCCTCCTGTCCCCCTCTCCATCTTCCCCCCCATGCTCCGCGCCCTCCTCCGCGGGACCGGCCGCAAGGCCTGCGCAATAAGTCGATACCCAAGGCACCGGACAGCATGACTTCGTTCGAGCAGGGAGCGAGTTTCCAGAGGCAGCAACGAGAAACGCCACCAGCCCCAGAGGAGGAGCAAGAGAACAAAGGAAGGGCAGGCCCAATACCATCAACATACATGGCAACCGAGCATCATGTGCAGCACCGGGTCGCCGTTGGCAGCGCCGCGCGCGATGCACCCTTGCGTGGGCGTGCCAAACCGTGCGCTCCCCCTCCCGCCTCAGAGAGCCCCCTCCTCCCCTCCCCCTCCTGCTCCCCTCGTCTTCGGCGCGGGCCTCCTCCAAGGACGGGAGGCCCTCCAGTTTCAGCATCAACCTGCCCGTCTTGATGGGCTGGACCTGCAGGCCCCCCGTGGTGTGCACCAATCCCCTCCTCCTTCCCGCGAGCGGGGAATCGAGCATCGAGGCTAGGGGTTCTTCTCCGTCAGCGTTCCTCCTCCTCCTCCTCTTCCTCCTCCCCCCCCTCGTTCGAGGCACGTTCCTCCTCCTCCTCCTCCTCCTCCTCCGCCTTCCTCCTCCGTTTCCTCCCCCTCCTCCTCCTCGTCGTCGTCCTCCTCGCCCCCTTCCTTGACCCTTCCCCCTTGGTTCCGTCCGTCGTTATTCTCCAAGTGGCACAGGGTCAGAATGTGGCCCGCTGGGTCCGACCTTTTCCAGTGGCCGTCCAATCGGGGCATGTCGAAAGGCCCAACATCGGATCTTCCCTCGTCGAACTTCAAAACTGGCTTCCGAACCACTGGAAGCGCAAGCACTTATAGAGCTAACCGTGTTCCTAAGCGCCTGCTAACAATCTACGCCACTTTAAGCGTGTTCCTCATTATTCTCCGCCCTTCTCCCCCCTTCCCGGCCCTCTGCCCCTGCACGCTATTATGGTGTTTTGATGGGTCTTCCTGTCTGGCAATGGCCAAACGATGTGCGTTCTTCCTCATGCCCCCTTTTCGCGTTCCAGACTATCGGTGCCAAGCGGGCGCCCAGAGAATTGCTTCTTTGTCGCCTCTCTTCTCAGCTGGTCCATCAGCGGACGCGCCAATCGAACTCCTGGTCAGTCGGGGGTACGGCGTCTGAAAAACACGCCAAGGCCATCATTGACTAGAAGACGAACAAACGGTATAAACATAAACTTTTGGCGTTCCACGCGGATTTCTTGGATCTGCGCTGGACCCCCGTCCCTGGCGCGCGGAGCGTGCCAGGCGCGCGCCAACAGCTAATGTGTATGGCATTGTTTCTTCTTCGATTGACGCAACGATTGCGGCCACCGCGCCCCGCAGTGTGCCATCCGCGCAAAAGTTTTTGCGGGCATCACCAGGGGAGGCGGGCGTTTGGACGGAACCACTGGCCATGCTATGTAGGGCACGAGGTCCAGCGGGGCCTCACGAGAAAAGGCAGCCCCGGCGCCCCCCCTTTGAGGCCAGGGCAGACGCGGACTACGGGATAAGGCTGCAAGGGCCATGGACGCCAATTTCGAAGCTTCTCGAGCGGGGCGCGGCCAACGAAGGTGGCCAAGGACGGACCGAGGAGGCAAGGATGCGAGGGTGCCCTCGGGAAAGTTGCCCATCCTTACTGCACGGGTTGACTATACCCGCTGCGCGATCAGGCAGGCGTGATTTGCGATCATGGCCGACGCCGCCCAGGTCGAGAACTCCGTCGCAACGCTTTGCGCGCCGCTCACCCGAGCAATTCGGAACTGTCCGCGCTTGAAGGCCCAGTCAGCCATGCGCCACGCGGCCCGACCACCTGGGAGCAGCTATGCCTCCCCGAACAGTGCGGGAGACACGACCGGCCCCAAGTCCCATCGGCCCTGTGGGCTTTGGAGGTCTGGGGAGTTCAAAGGGGCCCAAGGACACACAACTATATACACACACACAAATAACGAGATGTCTCATATTTCGTCATATTTTCTGGGTTTTTGTCTTCCCCCCCATTTCCTAGATTTTCCCATATTTCCCGGGAATCGACGATTAATTGTGTCTGTGTTTTTTCCCCTCCTGATTTGTGCCATCTCCCTTCCAAGAAGAACCCCTCTCCCTACCCTCTCCCCTGGACCGCGCCGCACGCCCTGCAATACCCTGCAGAGCACCCCTGCAAAGCCGACGCCACGAATCTGCAAAAACCTTCAAAATACCCTGCAAAACGACCCTGCATAGCGCCCTGCGATGCCCTGGAAACCTTGCGATACCCGAGAATCCGCCGACCCCTGCTTGCCGGGGGTGAAAGGGCGTGTGAGGCATCTGGCTGTCCCCCCTCCTCCTCCTCCTCCTCCTCCTCCTCCTCCTCCTCCTCCTCCTCCTCCTCCTCCTCCTGGGGTTCAAAATGCCACTCTAGGGCGAGGTGGGGTGGAGGCACAAGCTCGTCAACGCACCCCCCGAGGACTTCTGGAGCCCCCACGAAGAGCCCCAAGACAGCCCGACAGGGCCCAGCCAGAGTTCCCAACTTCGCGCTTCGCGCTGCGCGAAGTGCGAATAACTTCGCGCTCTCGCGCCGCCTCCCAGGGGAGAAGGAGAGGATGAGGAGGAATCGGAGCCGAAGCGCGAAGCGCGAATGACTTCGCGCCCTCGAGGGCGCCCTTGGCGTCATGACGGCCCAGGGTAGCCCCACGACGATCGAAGATGGCTTCAAGATAGCCCACCAGGCCTCCAAGACAGCCCCAAAAGCGCCTCCGCAGGATCGCCGAGAGGGCCCCAAGAGGCCAACATCATTACACTCGCTTTGAACAGTTTACATTTTCAGTGCATTCGCATTCTACGTTTTGACAGCAAGCACGACGGCCCAAGTGGCCCCCAAGATCGCCCCCAGACGGCCCATGATGCCTCCAAGACGGCCCCAAGACGACCCACGAGGGCCCAAAGACAGCCCCTGGGGCCCCCAAAACGGCCCAAGGAAACCCCTGCAGGCCCCAAGAGGGCTCCAACAAAGCCCACGAGGGGGAATACAAACTGACATTTCGAGCCTTTTCCACCAAGATGACACCCTCGAGCTCCCCAGAGGCCCCCGAGGCCCCAAGAGGCCGCAAGAGGCCTCCAAGACGCCCCCAAGAAGGCCACCCGAGGCCCCAAGAGCCTCCCAGATGCCCTCAGGAGTTCTCCAAGAGGCCCCAGACAGGCATCCCGAGAGACCCTCATATTAATCCAGGAGGCTCCTGTCCCAAGATAGAACTACCGCGATCGTCTCCGGCACTCACTCCTTGGGGGGGTCGGCGGAATGGCGGGATAGCGTAAGCCACTTGAATATTAAAATGCGGTAGGCGTCCTTTGGCCTTGCCGCATGCTTCCCGACCTTTGGCTGGGGCGGATCCTCGATTATACGCCTGTTCAGCGGCCGCCGAGGCAACTGTGATGCCTGCCAGCGCCGAGCCTGAGCCTCAGCTCGAGGACACCCCACCCACCCCGGAGGAAGAAGGGGCGCCGACTTGACCGCCGCCGCCGCCCGAGCCAAGGGATGGGGGAGGAGAGGGTGGCCGCCCTCCGTCAATGCCGCCACGCCAGCCGCGGACGCCAGCACCGCGCCGTCAGCCTGGGGGCCAACGCCACTCTATCTGGTTGAAGGGGCCAGGGCCACTTATGCACACAGGACACCATCGGGACATCACAACGAGACACCGAACCAACATCCCCCAGACCCCGCGCCCCGCTGGCCAAGGGGAAGGAAAGGAAGGGGGAGGAAGACGCCGCTTCCGCGGGGAAGATGCTTCCACTGGCCGTCGCACGCACAGCTTCCGCCAGCCAACGCCGAGGGGCCCCGTGGGCCTCCGGTCCCGCCTTCCGCGGAACAGGCGCCCCCACCCGCCTCCGACTGCACAGCTTCCGCCGCTTCAGCTCTCAGAGCTACCCTGCGATACCCTGACATAACCTGCAAAGACCTCGCAGTCCTCCGACCAGCCCTCCGGGCTGGAATGGTTCGGAGCGTTCTCTCCTGTGGCTTTCTGCTCCCACCCGCCCTCTGGGCGTAGGTGTTTTGAGCAGCTAGCTCTTCGCCCTCTGGGCGTGGGTGGTCTAGCGAGTTTGTTCTCTCGTCCAAGAACCCCACCAGCCCTCTGGGCGGAGGTGGTCTAGGCGTTTCCACTTCCATCGTCCCTCTTCCCCTTCGGGGATGGGTTTACCCGTCCGCCAACCCCGCCTACACCTGGACAGGGCGCCCCGCGACCCATTGGAACGTCCAAAAAGGCATCGGCTAGAATGCACTATTTGGAACGTCAAAAAGGTTTGGACATATTTTGGCCTCCTGGCGGGGGGGGAAATTGAGAACACCTCCTCTTTGATCGACCTCGTCCCAGATGGCCCCCAAGGCACCAACGAGTGCCCCTAAGAGGGCCCCAAGATGCGCCTAGGAGGCCCCGACAGGTCCCCAAGAGGTCCCACGAGGCTCCCAAAAGACTCCCAACAGGCCCCGAGAGGCTTCCCCGAGGCACCCAAGACGCTCCAAGAGGCCCCTGGGGTCGCCAGAAGGCTCCAATGACGCCCCATGACGACCCCAAGAAGCGCTCAAGAGATATCCAAGAGGCATCCAAGAGGCCTCTGGCCTTTCTGCTCGCCCTCCTCCTCTTCCTCCTGATCCTATTCCTCTTCCTCTTCCTCTTCCTCTTCCTCTTCCTCCTCATCCTCCTCCCCCTGCTCCCCCCCCTCCCCCTCCCCGCCACCTCCCTCCTCTTCCCCCGTTTCCTCCTCCATCCCCCCCTCTTGGGGTATGACGGCTTCCCCAGCTCTTCAGTCCACCGCATGCTCCTCCAAATTCCTGATCCGGGCAACTCGCCAGGGCATCGTGTCTAGATCGGATGATGGGGCTAGGCTCTGGCGGGCGAGAAAAACGCGGCGAGGGCGAAACACGCTGCAGAAAAACTGCACCTGATGCCGTACACGCACGGGCCCACCAGGAGTTCCAAGCAGGCGGTGCAGCAGGCCATCGGCCGCGGCAGCGCTCGACTCAGCGAGCTCCTGCTCCGACTCGGGGACCCGCAGCCTGGGGAGCGAAAGCGGCGACCGACCCCCTTTGGAAGGTGAAAGATGGGGTCTGCAACAGGTGGTCTTTCATGGGGGCTGAATGGCCCACGAATGCTTCATGTGTCGCTCTTGTACGCGATCGGGTACGAGTGGCATCCGATGCTGGCGGCCATGGAGGGCCAGTCGTTCGTGCCCGCGCGTTGCCCGCGCGGGCACACGCGCCGTCCATCCATCCGCGCGGGCACAGCGCGCCAGCGCTGCCCGGGGGCCCTGGGCAGCGCTGGCGCTGACCCCTCTGGACACGTGTTCGAGCGCCGGCAAACGCGACTCCGGGAGCAGGGGGGCGTCCAGCCGCCACCCGGGCCCCGTCGTGCGGCAGAGGTCGCCGTCTCGGGCCGCTGCGGCGGCCTCCACAAGGGCGGCGAAGAAGAACAACGCTGGCGCTCTGCTCTTCGAGCTGCACGTTCTCGCCACCAAGAGCCCTAGCGCCCCTAGGCTCGAGTCCTGGCTTGCGGAGGATATCAAAACAAATCCGGGAGCGATCGAGACGTTCATGACCGAGGTGTGCCGTAAATGCTTGTGTCCAAGCCGTGGAGCGGTGAAGCATCTTTCTGCAGGCGCAGGTCCCTCGGCGACCCTTGCGTGCTCACCTGCGTAAAATTCAGCGGGGGCAAGTGGGACAAAGGATGGCAAGGGCTAGGCTGCGGACTGCCTCCGTAGCCGCTGATCAGCGCCAACTTGAACCCGCCCCTGGTCTCTGAACGCTCCGCGTGATGAACGATCGACTCTACACCGACAACTTTTTCGGTTCCTTCCTCAACGACCTGGCCCGGGGCGTGCGAGAAGGAACTCCTGCGCCTGCCCGGCGGGGGGGGATCGAGTAAGAGGAGGGGGGGATCGAGTAAGAGGAGGGAGGGAGCGAGCAAGAGGGAAAGAGAGAGAGAGAGAGAGCGAGCGAGAGAGCGAGAGAGAGAGAGAGAGAAAAAAACACACACATACAACACGTTGGGTACTAAAACGGAGGTGGGGATGAGGAAGAGGAAGGAGTAGGCGGGGGAGCAGGTCCTTATCCTCCTTCCCATCATGCTGCTGCTCCTCCTCCTTCTCCTCCTCACTTCCCCCCTCCATCCGCATAACAAAACATCTCGATCATCGAGACTCCTCCTGCTCCTGCTCCCTCCTGTTCGTGCTCCCCCCCCCGTCCCGAGGAGAGAGGCTATTGTACGGGTGCTTGCAGCGAGGGGGTTATCCCGGGGACCGCGTGCAGCGGCGAAACCTTGGCCGAGATCCACTCGCGGTTCAGCAGCTGCAGCAGCACATAGCGGCCTGGCTCCTGTGGCTCAGGTCGTCGTCGTGGGCCCCCCATCCTCCTCCCTCCCCTTCCCCCTACCCCTCCCCCTCCCCCCTCCTCCTCTCCCTCCTCCTCCTCCTCCTCCTCGTCCCTCCTCCTCCTCCTCCTTCGCCTCCTCTCCTCTCCTCCTCCTGCTCGCCTCCTCCTCCTCCTCCTCCCTCCTCTCCTCCTCCCTCCTCCTCCTCCTCCTCCTCCTCCTCCTCCCCGCCTCGTCCTCCTCGTCCTCCTCCTCCTCCTCCTCCTCCTCCTCCTCCGCTTCCTCCTCTCATCGCCCCTGCATTTTCAGGGCATCCACGGTTCAGTCGGTTCTATATCCCCCCCACTCTCATTATTCTCCTTCTACTCCTCCTCTTCCTCCTCCTCCTCTTCCGCCTTGCCCCCCCCCCCTTTGGCTCCTGCCAGCCCAAGTCGTGGGGGAGGAGCCAGCCGTCGTCTGTGGAGAGCATCACCTACTGGAGCACTAAACTCTCCGCCACCAGCGCAACCTCGCCGCCTAGAGTGTCAAACAAGTGGACTCCCCATAGTATCCAAAGGCTGACCTACATCTAAACAGCACAGGCGTGAAAAGATGCAACAATGAGCTCCTGGGTACTCGCGCGGGTCCAGCGACAACTTGGGATCTGGGGGGGGGGCGGAAAAGGAGCCCACTTCTTGTTCTACCCAAGGTCCCCCCCCTCCCCTCCCCCCTCCCGTCCCTTCCCCTCCTCCCTCTCCTCCTCCCTGCACCCTCCCTTCTCGCTGCCCTCCCCTCCTCTCTTCCCCTCCCTCTGCCCCTCCTCCCTCTTCCCTTCCCCCCTTCTCGCTGGGAAGGGGGGAGGGCAGCCCCCGTGGCGTACGTGTGGTGTCGGCCCGGGATCGCCCAAGTCAGGTTCTCGACGGGGTGCGTGCGGCCGTCGCAGCCGAGGACCTTCGATAGGGGGTCCAAACTTCTCCTCTCCCCTTCTCCTCCTCCCTACTCCCTCCTGCTCCTCCTATGTCTCTTCCTACCTCCCTCATCTTCCTTCCACTCCCTCCTCCTCCGCCTCCTGCTCCCTCCTCCTCTTCCTCCCAACTCCTCATGATTATTCCCCCCTCTCATCCACCTCCCCTCCTCTTCCACCTCCAACTTCTGCTGCTCCTGCTGGTGCTGCTGCTCCTACGCCTCCCTTGCCGCCTCCTCCCTCCTGCTCCTCCTCCTCCTCCTCCTCCTCCTCATCCTCCTTTTCCTCCTTTGCCTCCTCCCTCCTCCTGCTGATGCTGTTCCCCCTGATCCCCCTGATCCTCCTCCTCCTCCTCCACCTCCTCCTCCTCCTCCCCCTCCTCTTCCCCTCCTCCTCCCCCCCCTCCTCCCCCTCCTCCTCATCCTCCTCCTCATCGTCATCATCACCATCATCGTCATTAGCATCATCATCAGCATCATCAGCATCATCAGCGTCGGCGTCAGCATCATCAGCATCATCATCACCATCATCATCAGCATCATCAGCATCTGCATCATCATCATCATCATCATCATCATCATCATCATCATCATCATCATCATCAACATCATCATCATCATCATCATCAGCATCAGCATCATCAGCATCATCATCAGCATCATCATCATCATCATCATCATCATCAGCCTCATCATCATCAGCAACACCAGCATCATATGCAGCATCATATGCACCATCCGCAACACCATAAACATCATCATCATCAGCATCAGTAGCATCATCACCATCAGCATCATTATCACCACCATCATCACCATCGTCATCAGCATCACCATCAGCACCATCACCATCATCAACATCATCATCATCATCATCATCAGCATCGTCATCATCATCATCATCATCAGCAACATCAGCATCAACATCATCAGACTCATCATCATCCGCAGCATCATCCTCATCATCAGCCTCGGCATGATCAGCATCTCAGCGTCACCATCACCAGCATCATCTGTATCATCATCACCATCATAAACATCATCAACATCAGTAGCATCCTCACCATCATTATCACCACCATCATCACCATCGTCATCAGCATCACCATCAGCACCATCACCATCATCAACATCATCATCATCATCATCATCATCATCATCATTATCATCAGCATCGCCACCATCATCGTCAGCAGCATCATCATCATCAGCATCATTATCATCAGCATCATCATGAGCAGCAGCATCATTGTCATCACCATCTTCCCCTGGTCCTCCTTGCCACGTCCCTTCTTCGTCACTGTTCCTCATGGACAACTCCTCCACGCCTGAACACCAGAGGTGTTCGTAGGGCGGGCCAATCGATTCGCCTGAGATGCTCTCCCCTCACATGGCCCCGAAGCTTGGGGGAGGGGGGTCGTTTCTGAAATATGGTGATCGCCTGAACGCCGCGCACATTCGACTTACAAGCTTCCAACTGTTGCGCGAATGGAGGGGGTAGTTTCCAAACTGCGGCCCTCGCCAAATCGCCGCGCACACTCGTCTTCAAATATTCCGACAAGTGCACGGATACAGGCCGGCTCCTTTTCCGAGTGCGGCCATCGCTTTAGCGCTAAGCGCTGTCGCCTCAAACGTTCCCGACAGTTACACGGATGGAGGGGAATCCCCTGTCAAACTGTAGCTATCGCCCTGGCACCGCGCACATGCGTCTTAAACACTTCCAACAACTACACGTGTGGATGGCGACTCTGCTTCAAGGTAAAGCGTTCGTTCGATACACCCTTAACCCGCAGGGTCACGAACCAGGAGATGTGCAACAACTACATGGATGCAGAGCGGCTCCTGCTCAAAGCGGGGCTCTCGCTTTAGATTCAGGTCGGGCATGTCCCGCAGAAGGCGGAGCTTAGAAGACAAATGAAAACTAGTCAAACAAGATTCAGAGTTGCAAATGATAGTCGAAACATCGTTCCCAGACTATTGATTTGCAGTGTTTGAATATTTGCCCTGCAGAGGGACGCGACCGACTCAACTTGAGACCTCGTCGGGCGAGCTGACCAGGCGCGCCTTGGCGAAGGCTGCACGGATGGAGGGCGGCCCTCTCTTTCAGAGCGGAGCGCTCGCTGGTCACGGCCTTGCACGCGCGATGGGGATGGTCATCAACATCAGCATTATCATTTCTAGCATCATCAGCATCATCATCATCATCATCATCAGCAGCATCATCATCATCAGCATCAACATCATTATCATCTTCCTCAACATCAACATCATCATCACCATCACCGCCACTACCATCATCAACACAATCATCATCATCAGCAGCAGCATCATCACCGGTATCATCATCAACAACATCAGCATCACCATTACCATCACCATCATGATGATCATGATGATCATGATGATCATCATCATCACCATCATCACTACCATCATCATCAGCAACAACATTATCCTCTGCTCCTGCCCCTCTTCCCTCTCCAACTTTCCCTCCTCCCTCCCCGTTTCCCGATCCTCCCCCCTGCTCCCTCGTCGTCGCAGCCGGGGACCTCGATCGGGTCCAGCCTGGTGACCCGGCCATAGCAGTAGCGGCTGCTGCTGGAAGCCGGCAACGACACACCACCACTACTTGTAGCTCGGCTCGCCCTGCGCACCAAGCTGACTACCTACCAAACCACCCCAACCCAACCCGAAGACCCCAATTTCGGGTTGGGAGGGGTACGGGTTCCATATGTGTTTTTTCAATGTTCTCCGACCCCCCCCCCCCACTGGAAATGGAGAGCAAATTGAGGCCTTCGGGTTGTGCTGGGGTGGGTTGGTGGGTGGTGACAAGCTGGTGTGCAGACTCGCCCCAGAACAAGCCAGAAACGTACGTGCACCGGTCCGGGCCCCTGGGTGGGCCCGATGAAGCTTGGTGGTTGTGCACGGGTGGCCGGCTTCCGATACTAATCCAGCCGTCCCGGAGTCGACAGACGACGTGGTCTCCGACACCCACGCCCTCTTCGACCTGCAGGAGGAGGGGGCGGGAGCGGGAACAGAACCTGGGGCCAGAGGCTCTCCTTCTCCCTCTGATGTTTTGGGCCGAGGAGAAGGAGGAGGCGGAGAAGAAATAGTAGGAGGAGGAGGACGGCGTTGGCCTCGAGCCCGTCAAGCCCGCTGTAGCTGTTCTGGCGCGGGATCGCCGGGTGCGCCAGGCCAGACACCGCCAGGCGGCTGGCCCTCGGGGATGCCTTCCGAGGGAGACCCCTCATCTTGCAATGACCGACCAGTCGTCCCCCGCTGGGGGGGAGGGGAGGAGCGCGGCGGAGGAGAAGGAGGAAGAAGAGGTGGATAAGGGCAAACGGAGAGCGAGTGGAGGAAGAAGTCGCTCCCCCCTCTCCCTTCCTCTCCTCGCGATCCTCTTCCTCCTCCTCCTCCTCCTCCTCCTCCTCCTCCTCCCCACAGCATTTCACTCCTGGTCAGGTCCAGGAGCTTGGGGCTCGAACATTTCGCGTTCACTTCCGCCGCCCAGGGTTTTTCGGATCATTCCCCACCAGTCTGCCATGCCTGCCACCCCTGCGAAGGAGCACCTCTCCATCGTGATCTGCGGGCATGTCGACATCGGCGAGAGCACCACCGCCGCCCGCCTCAACTACGACCTGGGCGGCCTTCCGGAACGCGAGCTGGAGAAGCTGAAGGAGGAGGCCGTATCCCTAGTACCAGGCTCCATCGCCTTCACGTTCTACATGGACCGACAGAAGGAGGAGCACGAGTGCGGGGTGACCAACGCCTGCACCACCCCAGACTTCTACACCGAGAAGTGGCACTGCACAGGCGTCATCGATGCCCCAGGCCATCGCGATATCAACAAGGATGAAAACCTGCAGAAGAAGTCTGACAACATGGGCTGGTGGAAGGACTGCGATGTCAAGTACGGCAAGGACTGCGCCACCCATAGATACAAGCAGTTCCGCTATGCCGAAATCGCGAAAGAAATGAAGATCATGTTGGTCAAGGACGGGTGGTACAAGGACTTCGAAGAGAAGGACACGCCTGCGATGCCAGTCTCCGGCCGGATGGGCGACTACCTGCGAACGAAGTCTGACAACATGGACTGGTGGAAGGAATGCGTCGGCGAGTACGGCAAGGCCCGTGCCATGCAAAAACATCCATCATAATCGATCCAGGGTGGTTTTACCTTTCCCCGCTTGCCGTCTGAGGCAAGCCATGCTGCAATTAGGGCTCGCTCCTGCCCTTTGAATTTCGCTGCTCTTTGGTGCAAAAGAATCGTGGGAGAGGCCCGCGGGATTAGTCTTCCCCACTCTCCGTGATGAGCCGAGGTCTGCATCAGAGTTGCTTGAATTTCTTGTCTTGTGCACTATTGCGATGTGCACCCGTGCAGTCGTCTTGTTTCTAAGTGGCACTGTGCTTAGTATGTTTTGCCCATTCGATCAAGCTTGTAAAAGGCAGACCGTAGAAGTCAGTAAAACAGGTTGAGAGCTTCCCAAAAGGGTGGTGCTTCCCTGAAAATTATGCACGGCAGCCGTAACAGAAGGGAGTGGCTCGGCGATTGGAGCTCCGCCGAGTCCTACGGCCCATCCCCACAGCGGGATCCCTGGCCGCGGGCAGCTAGTAGTCACCAGGCGAACGCTCTCCTCCACCACGCGCTGATCCTCCTCCTCCTCCTCCTTTCCTCCTCCTCCTCCTCCTCCTCCTCCTCCTCCTCCTCCTCCTCCTCTTCCTCGTCCTCGTCGTCTTCCTGCTCGTCCTCGTCCTCGTCCTCGTCCTCGTCCTCGTCGTCGTCGTCGTCGTCGTCGTCCTCCTCCTCCTCCTCATCAACATCAACATCATCATCATCATCATCATCATCATCATCATCATCATCATCATCATCATCATCATCATCATCATCATCATCATCATCATCATGATCGTCAGCATCATCATCATCATCATCATCAACATCATCATCATCATCATCATCCTCATCATCATCATCATCATCATCAGCATCATCATCATCATCATCATCATCAGCATCATCATCATCATCATCATCATCATCATCATCATCCTCATCATCATCATCCTCCTCCTCATCATCATCATTCCCCTCCTCCACCGCCACCTCCACCAACCCCCCTCTCCTCCTCATCCTCCCCCTTCCGCCCAATCCTTCTCCCCTCCCCCGCCCCTGCCAATTCCCATGCCCCTCCTTTTCCTCCGCTCCCCTCGCGGGGAGGACGAGGGCGGCGTGAGAAGGGCGCGGGATTGGAACTTCAGAGGGGCCCCAAGAGGGGGCTGAGGCCACGAGAGATCCGGCTGGCCCCTCCGCTCTCCTCCCTCTCCCAAGCCTGGGTGTTGCCAAGAGTGCCCCTGGCCCACGACGCGCCCCCTGGAGCTTTTGGGAGGACCCCTCGCGAGGCACAGGCTGCCCCTGGGGCTCCAAAACGGTGCGAAGAGCTAGAGGACGCCTTGGTCGGGGATGGACGGAACCCTCTTTTGCAAAACGTGGTTTAGTGAAAACGACCTGCGGCCCTAACCTGGGGGGCGCAAGCCATGAGAATGACGGCCGCGGCGGCCTCTCGAGAACCGAAAACGGGCAATTCACTAATCGACGTGTCAGGGTGGGGCTTCTGTCCACCCCCGACTTGGGCCAGGGCCGCCTTCGGTAGACCCCTCTCCAGGCCCCCAGAGAAGGATGGAGGGTCAAGCGGAGCGTGCTGACCACCACCCTCTGCCCCCCAGCGGGCTCGCGTCGTGGCGACTTGCGCGGTGGGCCCTGACACCGCGTGGGCCGTTCAGTCTCAACACGGCGCGGCCTTCCGATCGCGCAGGGCCGCTCGGTGTCGGCCAAGTCGGGGCCACCGGCGGCGCCCAACCTCGAACGCCAGCGCTGGGGTCGTCGCCGAGTGGGGGACGACGCGAGGCCACTGCAACCCAGGCCACCCGACCTCATGCCCCCGAACCTGCACGGCGCTGGACGCGCACGACTGCCTCCGCTCTCCCGCGCCGAACCCGTCCCCCCACCCTTGGAGGGCGTCTCTTTGAGCAGCCGTCCTGGCATTCCTGGGCATTGAAAAACAACAAGTGCTCGACAAGAACAGCCAGCAATTCCTCAGAGCACAAGACCCATCGAGTAAAGCAAGACGCCCTCAGAGCCAGAAATGCCCTACGATCATTTCGTGCACGCCACGGAAGGCTCTCAACTCTCAGAACATGTTGTAAGTGACCCTACAGGCAAGCCAGGACGCTTCGCCACTGCTTGAGGCTCTGGCCTGCACCGCGCAGGCGCGCAGCGCGGACGGCCGTCTTCGCGAGCCCCTGCGGAGGGCCTGGTCGGTCCCTTCTGGGGCCCTCCAAAGGGAGCAGCGGTCGTAGCGCTGCAAGGCGGGGGCAGGACCAGGACAGATTCGGACGAAGACTTGGACGCGCGAGATGGGCACGGAACAGAGGGGTACGACGCTCAATAGTTGTTGCTTTTAACCGACAGCGGTCGCCTTTGGGCAGGCGGCCTTCGGTGTGGAATGGGCAGCGCCTGCGGCGACACCGACAGCGACTCCCGCTCAAAAGGATCCCCTTTCCATACCCAACTTAGATCACGCCGAACAAAAATCAGGAACCTCTGAGCCCCAGGAAGCCCCCCAAGAGGCCCCCGCGAGGTTCCCAAGCGGCTTCCGAGAGCCCCCCAAGAGGCCCAAAGACTACCCCCACGAGGCACCCGGACTACGCTCGTCGTCGTCGTCGTCGTCGGCGGCACTGGCCGTAAGGCCTTCGCAATCTCCGAGTTGGTGTCCCTGGAGGGTGCATCGGGCGGCACGGCCGCGCCAGAGCGCTCCGGCATGCTCCGAGAGAGCTCCAGAACGCTCTGGAGAGATGCATCCTCGCCCCAGTAGGCCTAGGTCGGGCATGTCCTCCTACAGGCGGGCTGTGGACGAAATTTAGAAAGTATTCAAAACATACTCAACAATGATCCAGAAATAGTTGGAACATCGTCCCCGGACTATTTTTGCTATTTTCGAATATTCCCCCTGTAGTTGGACATGCCCGACTTAAAATTAGGCCTGCCTGGCTTGGGCCCTCGAGGGGAGTGGCGGTCGTAACCAGGGAATCCCAGCCGCCTTCGCTCGTCTGGCGCACCGCAGGCAGCCCATGACCTGTTGCATCCTCGGGGGGCCTTGCCTGTTCCGCTGCGGCCCTATCCGGGTCGAACACGTGTCGAATCCAAGTCGGACTTGTCGGATCCGTGTCCAATCCGTGCCGAAACCGCGTCGAGTCCGCGCAAAGTCCCGTCAGGCCCGCACATCGAGACCGCGTCGGGCACAGGAGTAGACACCTACACGTCGTTCATTTCTGATGGTGCTCATTTCTAATTGTGCTCGTCTCTACTTGCTCCTGGCCCACCAGTGGCCAGGAAGAGGCCCGGGACGGAACGATCAGAAACGAAAGGATCTTGGCCCCCGACAAAAATCAAAGGCCTGTCGAAGACCTGGAAATCAACCACGTGTACTTTGGGGGGCAAGCGAGGCCCCCCGAGGCTTGAGTCGGGCCTGTCCCCCTACAGGGGGATTTTCGACGAAAAATGAAAAATACCCCCCAACAGAAATATTCCGAAGATAGCCCAAACATAGTCCGGGGACTTTTTTTGTTTTTTTTTGGTTTTGCATGTTTGGGCCTTTTGGGTGTTTTTTTTGATTTGGGTATTTTTGATTTTTCGTCGAACATTCCCCTGTAGGGGGACACGCCCGACTTCACTTTGGGGGGCAGGCGAGGCCCCCCCGAGGCTGCAAGAACGCACGCGACCCTCGCGGCAGCTGCCGCCGCGAGCTCGCGCGGGCGGCTCGCCATCGCATCCTCGGGGCTGCCGGGGCGGGGCGCACCCCCGCGCGCGCACGGAGCGCCGGGGGGGGGGGGTCCGCGGGCCCCGCCCCGCCAGGAAGCGCGGCGGCTGCTCGAGCCGCGGAGGCGGGGAGCCAGGGGAAGAGGAGGCAGGTGCCAGCCCGGAAAAGATCCCCATCCTCAAGTCGGGCGTGTCCCCCCCTACAGGGGGATCGTCGACGAAAAATGAGAAGATACCCCAAACATGCACCACGAAGGTTCAAAACTACTCCAAAAATGCCCCCCAGACTATTTTGGGACTATTCTTTGACTGTGTTTGGGGTATTTTTTATTTTTCGTCGAAAATCCCCCTGTAGGGGGACAGGCCCGACTTAACCCTATCCCCACGATGCCAATCTCAGGGAATTTCCCTTAGTTTTGCAGGGCGCATCCCCAAGATTGTCATCGCCTTGTGGCGTGTCATCTCTTAGGGATAGTGAGAAGTTCGAGGCTGGTGAGACAGGGAGAGAAAAAAGAGAGAGAGAGAGAGTCGAAGCAGAAAAGGCAGGGAGGGAAGAGTAAGCGGGAAGGGAAGAGAGAATGAGAGAGAGAGAAAGAGAGAGAGAGAGAGAGTCGAAGACGAAGCACGACATGAGCCTAAAACTTTCGGCGCTCTGCGCGGACTGCTTGGATCTGCGCCGGATCCCCATCCCTGGCGCACGGAGCGCGCCAGGGGCGTCGCCGAAGGCGCCGCCCAGCGCGGATCTAAGAAAACCGTGCGGAGCGCCGAAAGTTTATGTGTGTGCAGGCGGTCTCTTGGCTCCTTCTGCGCGGACGACGAGGAGGAGCGACGCGCCAGAATCCACAGCGAGAGCCGCAGGAGCTTGGCACGAACGACATGGGTACGGAAAGAATGGGAGCAATGCCCAACAGCAGTTCCTTCTCATTTTGAACAAGACTCGCTGTCGGTGTCGCCGCGGCCTGTGTCCATTTGAGACAGAAAGGGCTGCGTGCTCATCAGTGGACGCTGCTGGTTTGGGACAACATTTGTTGTTGGGCACTGTACCCATTCTTTCCGTGCCCATTTCGGGCGTCCAGAAGAGTGAAAGAGCCCCCCCGCGGCCGCCTCGCGGCCACGAGCGGCTCGCCGACCCGGGTCAGCCAGAGGGGGTCTTCGCAGGATCCTGCAGGATCCGGCGCCCTGGCTGACCACCGTTTGCATTGACCCCTGTCTCCAAGCTCCCGACAGAGGAGTGCAAGAGCCCCCCCCCCACGGCCCCCGCCCTCCGCGCAGGGCGCGCACCGCCGCGCGCGACCGCCCTCCGCGCCTCCGCGCCGCCGCCACGGGCGAGGGGGCCGCGGTGTTTTGGCGGAACCGCCGAAACACCGTCTAGGTCCCGCCCTGCTCCCGAGCGCGCGCGCGCGCGCCAGAGCGAAAACGAGCGAGGACAGTAACATCTGCACGGGGCCGAGCAGCAGCTGAAAGGCACAGAGGATCGGAGAACATCAGGACCGCCCGATGCACGAAAAACGGAACTGCCCACAGAGGGCGGGAGCACCGGCCATGAGGATTGCCCGAAAGGGTTTGAGAACCCCACGCCCCCCTGCCCATTTCACTCACTTGCACATCCAGACGCTCGCTCACCCAAACCACCTCCCTCTTTATAACACGTGTTCGTCAAAGGCCAGGCCACGTTCTCCTCCTCCTCCTCCTCCTCCTCCTGCCCCGCCTCCCACTCATCAAACTCCTTCTGACCCCTCTCGACAGGTGCCAGACCCTAGCGTGGCGAAAACGTGCCCCCTCCACCAAAATCGCAAAGCGGGAAAACCTGCTTCAGAGCATAGCGCCGACACCGATAACGTCTCAAATAAAAGTCGATGGCAACAACAGATAGCTAAATGATTGATCGATCGAGAGTGATGTTGAGTAGGATTTTGAACGCGCGAAACGTGCGCGAACTCAGAAACGTGTGATAATTGAGTGCGACGGGGGTGAGAATGGTGCGGCAGTGAAATGCGAAAGGGGTGAAGTTCGAGTGGGAATCGGGCGAAACCAGTGAGAATGGAGTGAAAATTGAATGGGGGTCGCCTGAGACTGGACCGAGAACGAAGTAATAAATGGGCGGGGGCGGAATGGAGTGGAGCGAGCGCGGAGTGAAAAAGGGGTGAGTGCGAATAGCCTGTAACCAGGGTGGGAATATAATACAAATCGGATGATGATGGAATGCGAACGGACAAAGCATGGAATGGGATTGGAAGCGCAACGGAAAGATAATGGAACGAAAACGGAATGATAATAGACAAAAATGGACGGAGTGATGATTATTACTCTTTCCAGATACCATGATTACTCCATTCTGGAGCCAATGAAAGCGTCAAACCACTCCCAAAACGCGTGGCAGAATACGTTCTCGGTTTTGGTGCTGGGATGCATGCCTCCACTTGTTGTCATGCCCCGGCAGTATTTCCATCCGCCAAACACATGTCCCTCATATCACTCTCCCTGATGTATACGTCCCTCTCCCCTCATCATCATCCTCATCAGCATGGTCATCAGATTCACCGTCATCATCATCAACATCCTCGTCCTCATCCTCGTACTCATCGGCATCCGCAGCATCATCACCATCAACAGCATCATCATTACCACCACCATCATCATCATCATCACCATCGTCCACCATCGTCATCACCAGTATCACAATCATCAACAGCATCGTCTTCACAATCACCATCACCATCACCATCATCATCATCATCGTCATCATCACCATCGCCATCATCATCAACAACACCATCATCATTCGCATCGTCCACCAGCATGATCATCACAATCATCATCACCACCATCACCATCATCACCAAAACCATCATCATCATCACCACCATCGTCATCATCATCAACAACACCATCATCATGATCAGCAACATCAGTATAACTTACCATCATCATCACTATCATCCTCATCCTCATCTTCATCATTCTTCTCGCGGCTAACAGGCCGTGCCCCCCCCCCAGAACAGGTGGAGCAGAAGGAGCAGGACATTATCAGCAGCAGCAGCAACAGCAGCATCAGGAGGAGCAGCAGCAGGATGGGCGGGAGCAGCTGCGGGTGCTGCAGATGACAAGGAGCAGCAGCAGCAGCAGCAGGTTCAGCAGCAGCAGCAGCAGCAGCAGCAGCAGCAGCTGCGGGAGAGCAGGGGGCACAGGGAGGGGCGCTGGGAGAGGGATGGAGGAGGGCCGGAACCTCGAAGGGGGGGAAAATGAGAAAGAGGAGGCCTTCTTAGAAGGCGACGGGACATTTAAGAATCCCTCTGGCCTTCTGCAAGGTTCTTTGTCTTCGGGGAAGGCTTAGAAAACTTCTCAGAAGGCCCGAAGCCTTCTGAGCCTTCTGAGAAGGCCCGCCCCTTCTCACTTCCCCCCGGGCTCGCCGCCGAAGGAGGGGGAGTCGAGGGAAACAGGCTCGAAGACTCGAGGCTGTACGACTGCGTCTGCTCGGGGACAGCACGGCGCAGCAGGCGCGGCCGCGGCCGCGGCAGACCTCAGCAGAGGCCAATACCAGGAGGCTGGAAACTCGCATGGCTGGATCTACGTGTGGGGCACCTGGGGGCCACGCGCTGGATTCGGGGATCTACTGACCCGGGTCAATCCAGACCCGGGTCAGTCAGGCAATGCAAGAGCCTGCGGGATCCTGCAAGTTCCTGCGGGATCCTGCACCTTCACCCTGGTCAATGCGCCCCTGGCCCTGCAGGATCCTGCAAGATCCGGCGCTCTGGCTGGCCCCAGTTTGCACCGACCCCCGAGCCCCGAAGCCCCGATGCATGCACACATGCAGGAGCCTGGCCTGCACGGCGACAACGAGGGGCCGAGCGCCAGCAGGACGTGCGGCCACACGTGCGGCCACCTCTCGCCCGGGCCAGCCACTTCACGCGCACCCCGGCTTCCCGACAGAGGGAGGGCAGGAGGAGCGGAGGTGGACGGAAGAGAAGGAGGGGACGAGGACGTCAGGGGTGGAGGGCGGGAGGGCGGGGAGGGGAGGAGGCGGCTCCTGCGTGTGCAGGGGCACCCACCACATCCAGGCGCGGGGGCCGAACACCTGCTCCGGGGGTGCCGGCCAGGCCGCTTCGCACCCACGCCGTTGCCCCGACACCCCGTCCTTCCCTCCTCTCTCCCATGCCATGACTCCTCTGGGCCTTCCATCCTCTCTAGTTCCGTCCCTCCTGCCTAGCCTCTTTCCTGCTTGCGCATGTACTTCCTTCTTTCGTCCCACACCTACTCTACCCCCTTCCCCAGGTATGTCCCCGTTGCTCATCTGATTAATCTCGTGGCTCTTGTTGCATCTAGCTGCGTGCCAGTATGCAACGCATTCTGCATGTCGTCCATCCACCCCCCTCACCTTCCCTCCCTCCTTCACTCCCCCTTGCGTCCCTACCTCTGCCCCTCCCCCCTGCCCACAGCCCCGACGCCGTATTCTTTTGACAACACGGGCCCTGGAAATCTTGACCCCATCCCCTGGACCATTTCATACCGGATGAATGAGTTTGACGGTCCCAAGGCCAAGAAAAACCTCCCCGAGGCTGGAAAACGGCAAAAAACCTCCCGTCGGTATCCGTTTCACAACTAGAGGAGGTCTAGCGCCCCCCTCGCCACGCTCACCGTCCCTCCCTCCCCTTCTCCTTTCTTCTTCATCGCTCCCTCCCCAAGAAGCCCTCTCTTTCGCTCCCTCCTCCCTTCTGCCTCCCCACCAAGGTCCACCCCTGGCTCCTCACACATACAAACTTGTCATTCCTTTCCTGTCTCCGTTCTGCGCTTCCTGTCTATCGCCCTACAGGAGCTCATTCAGAATTTGTTTACTGCCGCGTTGCTGCCATCCTTGTCGTCCCCGACTTCATCCCCTTCATGGTCTTCCCTGTCCTTCTACTCTTCGCTTCCTGTCATTTGTTGTGGCAGAATTCAATTGTATGTGTGTGTCAGACTTGTCCTGCATCCCGTCTCACCGTCTTCGTCATCCACATTATGTTGGTAGTACCTCCCTCCTCTCCTTCATCCGTGCCCCTTCTGATCCTTCTGGCGATTCGCCATCAAGTGAAAGAGCGAACCCCTTTTCTAGAGGGCCGGTCACCTGCTTACCCCGCCCTCGCCA